ATAATAATGTGTATCTTTGTTTCCCTAAATGTTTATTTCAATGAGAAAAAAGAGAGATATATCTAAATAAACTTCTAATTGGCGCCCAACGTGAAATTAAAATTTTTCTCAAAATAAAATTGCCCTCTTTTTCACGGAAGTAAATAAATAAATATTCAGTCACCGAAGATGGATTCTTTCTTTAAAAGCTCTTGGAAATAAAAAATAGTGGTACTGAACATTTGTATGACAAAACTCTTGTTCAAATCTACACTTGAACTAAAATATTGGTAAATTTTATTGGCGCCCATTATGGATAAAATTCTCAAAATTCCAATTAAAGCACCTTTATGACCGATATATTTATAGGAAATATCCCTCCTGGGTTGTGAATAAGTTAATCTGATGAAGAAGTTACTCTAATGAAAAATTATAAATTGATAAATATTATGAAAAGAATCATAAGTGGCCCCCAAGGTGGTAAAAAGACAAACATAATTTTTTACGGAAAAAGTACATCTGACCTTGCATTATTAAATGTTTATTGCTCTACCTAATATTGAAATAAAAATTTAATATATAGAAGAGAAATTTCTGAACATATTCGGAATGGCGCCCAACGTGAAATTAAAAAATATATATTTGTCATTGTCACTGAGGTTTGTTTTTTTAGATCAATCAATAATTATTGGTCTTTTCAATAGAAAAAATTAATGATTGATCCTATTTTTATAAAAAAAATCTGAAGATATGTCTAATTGGCGCCCAACATGAAAATAAAATATTTAACCTTTGTCATTGATTATTGACAATTGTTTTTTTTTCAGTAGAGGATTGATTTTTTCCAGAGAGATAACATTCAACAAAATATTTCTCAGTCATTGAGCATTAATTCCATAGAAAAAATTGAGTCCTAGTCTTGATGCTAGTCTTATGAAACAATTCTTAAGAATTGGCGCCCAACATGATATTAAAATATTTGCCTTTATTACTCATTATTGATTTTTTATAGAAAGCTATGTATTTTTCGGTCACTGAGGATTGATCTTTTGCAGAAGAAAACATTCCAAAATCACTGGGGATTAATTTTTTTTTAAATAAATTTTTAGGACGTCTCCAGTGAAAATATTTTTTTTTTATAAAAAGTGAGTCACACTAATGAAGAATTGTTATTTTCTATGAAAAAAAATCTGTCATCTGCCCTCAGTATGCTAATTATTTGCACTTGGCATCATCAGCCGCTCTTACCAAGAATTCATTAACAGCTTTATTATTTCTGTGTTTTCTTGGTAATGTTAGTCACATTTTTATTACATCTACTTTACTCTGTTCTTTTTTTCATTCCGCATCATCATTATTCTCTTGCTTTACCATATTATGTAAATATTTGTATTATTAATAAAACAAATGGTATCGAGTCATATGTTCTTATTTCCTCTCGCAAACTATTTAACACTATTGTCGGTTATTAACTACAATTGTACCTCTGGTAATAATTTGCAAAAAAATATGTGTGTCTTCTGGTTCCACACATATTTTTTGGGTAAATACAAAATAGCACAAGACAATTTTTTGCAAAAGGTTGTTATGTTATGTTTCGGTTTTTTCTTTTTCACGCAAAAACATGTTTATTTTTTAAATAAATATTTAACGATATAATGAATAAAGATAAGGAGATATATCTGAGTAGACTCGGCGAGAGTGAGAGAACAAATAGAGGAAAAAAATACACTTTGTAGCAGTCACGATTATTGCAAGTATGTCGGGTTTTTTTTCTGCCTCAGTTATTTCCGCTAATTGAAATAACAATTATTTGTACAAATTGAAATTTTTGAAAGAAAAATTTTTGTCAAAATTGCGGGTTTTAAAAGAGAATTGGAAGGACAAAAATATATAAAAACCTATGTTAAAATTGTTCGGATATTTCCAATGGCCTTACACGTACCATTGAAAATATCTCAAATTTGGTTTCCTTTATGTGAAAGGTATAACAAACGCTGGTCCTATATTAAATTTTGTTTAACACGAAATTATTTAACCCATTAAGAATCAATATTGAAAAATTACAACAATGAAGAATTAATCAGTTTGCTGTTACTTCAAATTTCCTAATGTAGTTATTAATTGCAAACATGTTTTCCCAACCGAAGAACACGATTCCGCTCAATTACTTTTATCGTAAGGTAAAAAACGAGACGGAAGAGATTCCAATTATTTAATTTTTCCATAACATAACAATGATGTCATTCATTCTTAAAATCCCATGGAATTTTGGTTACACCACTTTAAAGAACAAATTGGGAATTTTTTCGTTTTAATAAAAAAACAACACCAAAAATAGGTAACACTAATTGTTGACAAATTGATTAATTAAATTACAACATAGTTTGGCTAGAACACGGACAAAATTTAATAACAACAAAAAATGTGTACTCAATACTTGTTAAAAAAAATTATAGCAATACGACAACATTCCATGCCCCCTCTCCCCCACCCGTGGTTATATTCCATCCATTAAAGGTAAACAGATATGAATTGTTGTGGTAGGAATCGAAGTATCATCATCATCGGCATCGGATTGTCAGTATTATTGATATTTAGGTGACACTACACTGACTGAGCTCTAAGTGGAGACTCTTTGTTATTGTTGTCGATATTTTTGTGTTTTGTGTTATAGCCCCGATGAAAGAAAATTAGTTTTAGTTTAGTTGTAGTCTTTTTTTTTTGCTATCATTATGTAAATACTTGTTTTGTTGTTGTTGTTACTGCTTGCTGCTATTGTTGATTCTCAGGTTTTCTCTACAATTTTTTTCTATTTACATTATTTTTTCGTTCTGTTCGACTGTGTGTATCATTGGCTTTATGAACGTATGTATCGATAGCTGATTGATTGAAAGTCTGCCTATCCGTCTGTCTGTCGGACTGATATGAAATTCTCCAATAGACTCTTGTATATTGAACTTTACTTAGTCGTAAGAATGTGAGATATGAATTACATATAGGGGTATATATAATATATTTGTATAGTATATTGTGAATAAATATTGATATGAAATACAATGTGTTGTGAATGAATACGTGAATGCGTATATAGAGAACAGAAGTCGTGCAGAATGTGTGAAAAAAAATAATATTTTATAAAAAAAACATTTTTGTGACATAAAAAAAATTAAAATTATGTCTGAATTTTCAGAATTTTCAAAAAAGGATAACATTAGGCTTTATTGAGTTTAAAAAATATATAAAAATAATTTTTAATTAAAATTATGTCAATTAATTCTCAATTCCAAATTTTTGGAATAAGGAACCATTTAAAAAAAAAAAAAAATCCAACACTGAGAACCAAATTCTTACAATAGTAAAAAAAATTAAAAAAACTAGTAGAAAATCGTAAAAAAATAAAACGTATTTCAATTATACCCACAATTTTTAAGCTATTTCGGCTTAAATACGCCATTATTACGATTTTCTTATTATTTTCTATATTTATGTACACGTTGGGCGCCAATCATATAACTCAAAAATATTACCTAAAAATATTACCTAATTTAATAATTGTTTGTTTAATTTCAGAATGGCCAAATTATCAAAATTCCGTTCAGGATGTTGAAGGTAAGGATATGTTAACTGTATGTAGCCTATCTATGAAAATGACTGTTAATTTACATAAGTCGTGATTAAAACACTCTATATGGAAAATTAAAAGAAATATTTTTTTGTCAAAAAAAAAAAAAAAAAAAAACGTTGGGCGCCAAAATGTATTTTTTATTCTCATATTCAAAAATGTTTATTTTTCTAACTTAAAAAATTCTATTGGGCGGGAATCAATTATTAGACGATTATAAGCTGGACAGAAATAAATTATTGCGGGCATTTTCCAAATTTCATGTTGGGCGCCAAAATGTATTTTTCTACATATTGAGCTATTAAAGATTTGTTTTTTGTATTTAGAAGAAAATCTATTGGCCTTGGATCAACAAGAAAACGATTGTCTATTGCCAGCTTGACAGGAAAAAGATTCTTTCGAAAATATTATCCAATTTACGTTGGGCGCCAATATACAGTTCTATTTCCTACTAACGATTTCGTTTATTTTTAAACAAACGATTGGTCTTGTTTCAAAAAAATCGATTATCAACTTGACAAATATAAATTCTTGCGAAAAAATTTCACTTCCACGTTGGGCGCCAAATTTGTCAAATTTTAAATTTTCTGTTAGAGATTTAATTTTTAAGACAAAAAATGGTATATTTGTTTAAAGAGATATAAATAGGGAATATATTTGGAATATTAGCTGGAGAGATATACTTTTGTTAATGTTATAATATTACGTTGGGCGCCAAAATTCATTTTTAATTCACAAATCCTCACAAGACCTTGAAATCAAAAAGAAAACAATTGCGAACATTTTCTCAATTTCACGTTGGGCGCCAAAATTCACATTCAACAATAATTTAAGAAAATAAATTTTAGAAAATAAAATAATGGGCTTGGCAGAAATGATTACTTGCGACAATGTTCTCAAATTCACGTTGGACGCTAAAATGTATTTTTGGCTTAATTTTCTAGAAACCTAGAAAACGATTTTCAAATATGAAAGAAACAAATTCTTACGAACATATTTTCAAATTTACGTTGGGCGCCAAAATATTTTTTTTTCATTTAAAATTGTAGTGGTATAGGATCAACCAACTGAACAGAAATATAATCTTTTCATAAAGTGTTCTTGATTAACTCTTTGTCTAAATTCCAAATATTTCTTTACTTTTCTGCAAATCCATGTTGGGCGCCAAATTCATACCTCAATTTTAAGACCCAATTTTCATTATCAAATAATATGAAGGTGAAGAAAATAACTCTGACTGACCGGTCAATCATATTCACTTCAAAATCCCACATTATCTTTTTTCTGCAACATCACGTTGGGCGCCAAAAATATCACTTTTCGTTATTTACTCCCTGAGCTATCACTTTCCTAATTTAAATCTTAAAAAAGTATAAAAAGTCTTTCAATTACTTACCATTTAGTATTATCTGGCTCATTATATTCTCCAATGGTGTGTGTCGCCACCGAATAACCAAAATACGATGTAGGATTCGCATTGAATTTCACAATAGGCAGGCGACTTTCCAAATTGAAGGCATGGGTCATTAGGACACTGAATGCTACTAGTAGCAGTGATGATGATAAAATCCTTAATATATCTTCTTCTTTCCTTTTTAAAATTATTTTTTTTTTCTTAAATTTTGATGTTTCACAAATTCTTCATATTTCTTTTAACGGACTTTTTTGCTTCCTTTTGAGGGAGAGATTTCAAGATAATAACAATAAATTTCTTGATGATGATGATGTTGGGCGCCAAAATGTATGAAGCTTTTTGTTTTTGTTGGGATTCCTTTTTTTCTCTTGTTCTTATTTGCCGTCTTCTTCTTCTCCTTCTTAATAGGCCATGTGCATGAAGAGTCTTTCGTTCTTTGGTTTATTGGGATCTTCTAGAGGAGTTTCCAATTCAAGTTGTATGTAAACAATTTTTTTTGTTTTAAATTAATTGCAAAAAACCGGTCACTGGTCACGTTGCTTTTTTGCTTTTGTTGTTGTTGCTTGAAATAGTTTTTTTGCTGCTTTTACTCCACTAAGGTTTTTTTCTTTCATTTGTATTTTATATTTGTTGTTGTTGTTGATTTGCAAAGGCCAACAAATGTCTCTGAGTAGGAGATACTCTCACACACTGTTATTATTATCGTCTTGCCATATAAAGCTCTGAGTCTCACTGATATGAAATGGGGAGAGAGAGATTTAGATTTCTAACAACGGTATCTCAAACATTTGCTGTTAGAAGAGCAACTTTGGGGTAGAGATCTCTATGAAACAAAGTATCCAATATGGAGAGTGGGGATGGAGTCCAATGAGAATGGTTTTATTAGTTGTTGTTGTTATTATTTGTTGTTTTTTGGTTGCTTGGCATTGACATACACGACAACTCACGGTAAAATAATATCACCTGAAGAGAGCAGTCGTCTGTATGCATAGAGAGGTGGGGAGACCACGAAGCTAAGCCTTCTTTTCGTAGTATTTTTTGCATTTACTTGGAACCGAGCAACAATAACAACAAACAGCTCTTATGGGATTGTAGGGTAATGTTAAGACACGATGTTTCTTGCTTTGCTTGGGTGTAACAATTAACCTTCACACACAAAT